GGCCCCCGCCTCGATCAGGTCGTCCGTTAGCGCGAGGAACTGCTCGTAGTCCGCGCGGCAAGATTCCAGGACTCCCTTTTCCACCTCCAAGTCCTCGAGCTCAGAGTAAGCCTCCTCCACGGCCGCCCTTCGAGCATCGACCTGCTCAAGCCTCTTCCTCAGATTGTAGACCCTGTCCGGTCGGCCTATCAACGCGTGTGCGCTGGTAGCCCAGCGCAGCTCAGTCCGCAGGCAACGGATTAGCATCTTGGGCGAGGACATCACTACTAAATCCAAATTACGACGCGGCTCGAGCACAATTACAACAATAACAAATAAAAAATACAAAAAAATTAACAGCTAACTAATGCAGTTCCTATCAAATCGAGTTGAATAGAATGTACACAAATAAGAACCGCTATTATTAAATCAAACACAAGTTAGTACAAAGGAAAAGGTAAATCAAATTAACAATAACAAATACTAGTACGATCAAATCAAGTTAATTTAAATTACGTAAATACAAATTACCACTCTTTAGTTCAAATACAATTTACAATACGAAAGATACATAACGAAGATACACATCAACAAAAATGCCTTGCTCGGAAATCAACCCTTCGATAAGTAACACACTACCATCCGACAACGACAATTAACCGATTACGTAAAAATAACCATCTACCTACACGACGCAATCTCCCGCTTGCGCGCGAACCGGGCGTGGCCTTTCAAATTTACCCGCTAACAACAAAGCAAGCTAACAAAGAAAGGAATTTTATTATTACGTATATAATAAAAAGGTATTTTACGTATTACGGACGGGCGTGATTGTAGCCACAAAATCAACCCAACGCTCCTGCCACCAAATTATTTAATTTTTATCAAATACTATGGTCGGTGGATCGACCGGGAATCGATCCCAGAACCACGCTCTGCTACCAAATGATACGGTCAACAGCTGCCCTGCCTCAACAGGAGTTGGATCCTTCGCGGCCCATAGACGAAGGAGCTACGGGCAGATGCTGGTCGGGCGTTCCTACGCCGAGGGTCAAATGTTTCTAATGAACACACGAGGGGAAAGGTCACTAGGATAAATGCACTTACCTGCCCCAGGAGCGCAGACGATTCTCCTCGACCGGCCCGGCGGATGACAGTGTTGTGAGTGTATGTGTAATTGTATGTGCTGGTATGTTGACGGGAACCGATCTGGATGACGCAACGACGTCCGGGAGAAGGCACGCGCTGGTATCCCCGGAACTTTCCCCTTCTGGAGGCACTCGTAATGGGTTGTCACGAAATGGGACAGCTACTCGTAGTCCTTCAGAGGTAAATCACTGTGATAGTTGCACGCGAATTTAACCGAGTTAGTACGTTCTAATAACGATACCGTTATTGCAACAATTTACGCGGATTGTTCCTTTAGCAAAGTTAGGCGCGAAAACATACGTCCGTATAGCTCGCAAGAAAATCCTACTATATTCGCGAGAAGTGCCACGCCGACGCGTCCGGCGGCCGGGGGGGGGGGGAGCGGGGGAGAGGGAAGGTGCCCTTGATAGCGAGGCCAAGCGCGCGCGTTAAAGACTACGTTTTTATTGTAAATTTTTCCTGCCTAAACATACTTATTACATAATGTAGCAAAATCTGACACGTTATCCGTATGGAAAATGTCGACATCGCCGTTGTTGGTTATGTCGTTATATGTTTGCATTAACCTATTTATTGAGGCTCGTTTACCTAATTTTGTTCTGTGGTTAGGTAACCAGAAGATATCATTTGAGAAAGAAGAGGTACATGAGAAATGTTGATTTAGTGATTCAATATCAACGTCTTCATTCGAAATAGAAGATTCTTTAGATTTTCCAACTCCTACAGATCTGAGAAACTTCCAAATTTATGCAGGGTTTCCGTTTTTGAACATGGCGGTATTGTGTATCTCTACAAATTGTATTGCAGCGATTTCGTATGCTCCTGTACTTGTTCCTAATGTAGTCCGATTTATCACTGTTATAAATAAGCCAAGCTTTATTTTTATTATTTAACAGTGATTTAATATCATCTGTAAGCTATGGCGCAGGGGTGTGTTTAATTTTAACTGGTCTGACTGGTGCATGGGTGTCATAAAGTTTAATTAAGATATAATTAAGTGTTTTCACTTTTAGGTCTATAGAGCCTGCAGAGTATACAGCAGACCAGTCAGCATTCCGAGCATCCTCTTGGAGACGTTCAATGTCAACCTCACTAAAATTTCGTAGCGTCAGTATCTTGCAGCGAAGTTTAGTAGTGCGTATTTTATACGATAGAAAAATGAGATCATGATGAGAGAACGCCACGGCTGCACATTGACCATGCTTTGACCCGTGATCAGGTGATGAAACTATGATAAGATCTAACAAAGATAAAATACAGTTAGGCATGGTGTGCGTAGTATAAATTACAGGAGTAGGTAATAGAGCGCAGCCTTTTAGTGCGGTGATCATTCTTTAACATTCAAGTGTTAAAATCGCCCATTAAAACAATGTGATGGTATAGAGGATCAGAAAAAATTTATACCTACTGCAGCCGCCACCTTGGATTTACATTTCGGCAGCACTATCGGCTTCAACACCCTCGAAAACCATGAAAATGACACCCATGATGAAAAAATTTATACCTATTGCAGCCGCCACCTTGGATTTACATTTCGGCAGCACTATCGGCTTCAACACCCTCGAAAACCATGAAAATGACACCCATGATGAAAAAATTTATACCTATTGCAGCCGCCACCTTGGATTTACATTTTGGCAGCACTATCGGCTTCAACACCCTCGAAAACCATGAAAATGACACCCATGATGAAAAAATTTATACCTATTGCAGCCGCCACCTTGGATTTACATTTCGGCAGCACTATCGGCTTCAACACCCTCGAAAACCATGAAAATGACACCCATGATGAAAAAATTTATACCTATTGCAGCCGCCACCTTGGATTTACATTTCGGCAGCACTATCGGCTTCAACACCCTCGAAACCCATGAAAATGACACCCATGATGAAAAAATTTATACGTATTGCAGTCGCCACCTTGGATTTACATTTCGGCAGCACTATCGGCTTCAACACCCTTGAAAACCATGAAAATGACACCCCTGATGAAAAAATTGGTACCTACTTCAGCCGCCATTTTGGATTTACATTTCGACAGCACTATCGGCTTCAACGCCCTCGAAAACCATCACCAGGTTTTTCATATCTACATCAGGCATCAGTCTCTCACAAGTTAAGTTCCAGTCTGGCACTTTTCTAATACTTAGCATTAAGGTGAAAGTGCCAGTGGAACCCGCGAAATTCAAATTTTCTTAAGTTTTTTGCAATATGTAGGTCAGTGTCAGGTTGTATGTTTAACAAAATATGATTCGCGAGCGTAACGAGTATGTATTTACAGAATTATAATTATTATAATCATCAATACAACCGTCTATGTTCGTATCCCATTGTATGGCTATTCCCAGTAAAAACTCATTCAAAGGGATTATAAGAACTTAGAGGGTTGTATTGGTGATTTTAATGATAATAATTCTATAAACACATACTCGTTACCGTCGCGAATCATATTTTATTAAACATACAACCTGATCCTGACCTGCAAATTCCAAAAGACGCAAGAAAATTTGAATTTCGCGGGCCTCCCTGGAGCTTTCACCTTAATGCTAAGTATTAGAAAAGTGCCAGACTGGAACTTAACTTGTGAGAGACTGATGCCTGATGTAGATATGAAAAACCTGTATTACATGTCACCCCGCGGATAGAGCACCAATCTGGGGAATAATTTTATTATTATATTCATTGGAGAGACCTATGATCTGCTTTTGATAGGCTGTATATGATTATAATGGTAACGATATTTTATCCTTTTTCATGTCATGATTTCTTATATTTACGCGAATACTACACATTTAATTAAAACTACTTTTACGGATTTTATTGCGTTTAATTTACTTATTTTTAATTCCTGACATTTCGGTTGCTTTAAATATCCCTCTGTTTTAAAACCACTCTGTGAGATTATTGACAAAGAAAGAGGCAATCGGCCGGTTCGCCTCGCTATTTGAAAGTGATTGACCTTGAGTCGACGCGGAATCGCCCTTTATTCCCGCTTTCAATTTGTCACGATATATCTTATTTATATATTTTTTCTTGCTCCTGTTTCATAAATAACAAAAAGCCTTGTTTTGTTGTTGTTATTTATAAGACACTATAGCGAAAATAATGAAAAAGTATTTGGGAAATCCAAAAGTGCACACCTCGAAAGCTCCTGTAAAAAAATTGTCAATTAATTAATAAAATAAAAAAAAATATTAATGAACGTGACGGTTTACAATAGTGAAATTCAAAAGCCTTCCTAATTAAATCTAAAGCTAATAAAAAAAATCAAAGTGATAAGTTTAGGTTTTCGAAAGATCTTGTTCACATCCATAATTATATACCAACCAACTGATATCCAAGTGAAATTATTTTCAATTAACTTTTTTTTTTAAATAATAATCGTCACAAGTATTAATTGAAATCACCTCTTGCTGTTTGTGTACTTTTTTATTATATAAGTGCAATATAAAGTTGGTGGAAGTGATTTAAGTTGTGTAGATCGCGATTTTTTGAATTGGTGACAGTAGAGTACTGCATCTCAGCTTCGCGTTCGATATGTGCAATACTAGCTCCACCAAGTTATTTAAACAAATATACTTTATGATATACAATATTAAAAACTATAACAAAAACAAACTGAAACTAGTAACTTAACTCTTAGGAGGTAATCTGTGACATTGCCCCATAAATGAATTACTGATTCTGTGGAGTTTAGTGACTGGTATTACAAGCTTATGTTTGTTCCTAGTGTTTAAAGCAGTGATGCACAGACTTATTAAGACTAGGGGCCACTCGGGCAAATTATGAACTGATGGCGGGCCGCCAGAAGTGTAGGTAAATGAAGACAAGAAAGAATTGATTATAATGTATTAAAATTGAAAAAGAATTTATTAATTTGAAGCGTGGCACTGCATAGTGCTTACAATCTTTTTTATATTTGGCTCAAATTTACTTGTAGCAACACGTAAAACTGCTTCCAAACTTTCATTTGCAAGGCGGTTTCGATTTTTTGTTTTATTATTATTTAGTATTGAAAAGGTTTGTTCACATATATAGGTAGAACCAAATAAGCTGGCACATTTCAGAGCATTTATGCGCAACTTTTTGTACGTATTTTTATCAATACAGCGGTAAAAGTTCAGCAAGTCTCCTTCGTTGAATTTGTTGCGTAAATCTTGGTCGTTTTGAATGTCGATAATTTCTAACTGCATTGACTCTGGCGCATTTTCAACTGAAATCGTGAAAGGATTGCTGAATATGTCCAACAGAGGTTTCACTTTTTTAAACTCCGAAAATCTGTCTTGAAAAGATTGAATCAAAATATCTAGCTTTTCTACATAACTGAAATTAATCGCAGTTTTGTTGAATTTTTCATGTAATCAAATCAAAATGAAAATGATTGTAATTTCCAGAATTCAATTGCGATCTGAAAAGTGTCAGCTTGCATTGAAAGGATGATACATGAGCGTAGAGCTGGGATATCAGTTGATTTTTGCCTTGAAGCCGTGTGTTCAAGACATTCAAATGATTTGTAATATCAACTAAAAAAGCCAAATCACACAACTAATCAGGATTTTTAAGTTCCGGGACATCCCTTTGCTTTTTCGCCAGAAATATTCCAATTTCTTCTATTAAATATAGAAATCGTTCCAGTGTCAATCCACGACTTAGCCACCTTACTTCTGTATGATACAGTAAATCTCCATATTTGCTTTCGATGTCATCAAGGAATTGTTTGAATTGCCTGTGATTGAGTCCTCATGATTTTATGAAATTTACAGTCGAAACTACCACTTTCATGATATTTTGAAATTCAATTTTTTTAGAACAGAGGGCTTCTTGGTATATAATGCAGTAAAACTGCATGAGATCTTCAGCGTTTTTACTTGCAGATGCTTTTTCAGCAAAGTAACTAGCCCAGAATTGACACCAATCATCGAAGGGGCACCGTCAGTCGCAACTCCCGATAATTTTGATAAGTCCAAATCAGTTTTTGAACACTCATCCAAAAGTACATTGATTATATCAACTCCTCTGGTTTGACCTTTCAATGAACATATTCCTAATAACTCTTCTAAGACTTCAAAATCTTGAGTAACATCTCGTATGAATACCAGAAGTTGAGCTGTGAAACTAATATCAGTGGATTCGTCGAGTGCTAATGAAAAAAATTCAACGATCTTAGTTGTTTCATTTAATTGTTCCGCAATATAACTGACAAAGACATAATTCGTCTTTGGATAGTCATACGATTCAGTTGAATTTTCTCAAACTTTTTTACTGCTTCTGGACACATTTTCTTAGCGGCAATTTATATACATTCTTTTACAAAATCCCCATCATTGAAGGGGCGACTTCGCTTTGTTATCATTCGAGAAATTTCATAACTAACTTCTGTAGCTGTTTCTGAATCTTGAATGGGTTTTGTAAACATAGCTTGCTGACCAATAAGTTCCCGTTTTAAAGACAACATTTTTTGCTTTCTTAATTCGCCTGTAAACTTGGAAGTAGGATGCTGCGTTTCATAGTGCCTTTTTACATTATATTCCTTTGCAATCAAATCAAATTTCTTGAAACTGCCGATTTTCATCTTTAACCTTACGTTTTTTACTAGGTCCTGGCTTGTCCATGTTGCGATCTAATCCTGGCTAGGATGCTGTGTTAGCACCTAAAAACAATTACAGTACCTACTTAAATTACCCATCCTATTTTAAATTACCAAAAATAATCAATTAAATAGGCACTTATTAATAACAGAGTTTTACTTACGATTTCACAACACAATTATACACGGCACTTGACGTGAAATCTACGTTGAATGTGGATCAAAATATATGACACCGGCTAGTCGAGTTAAAATCTACACTAGAACTATTGACACTTCACTCAAATTAAAACCGAACTGTAGGTCGCTGCGGTTAGTGTGGCTTTTATACCGCGTGTATAGAGTCGAAAACCGTCTGGAGAAATCACGAAACCGACTCTGGAAGCTTCGTGTATCTACCTACGCGAGCAATCGGGAATTCGGGACTATTGCTATCTCGCTTGCTTTAACAATATAACCCGTGGATAAGCCGCCACCGCGCTGCCGTCGTCGCCGCGCCGCCGGCCGCGGCGGTTCCTCAAGACAACGAATTTAACCGAGATCAGCACGAACATTACCGACCGCTGTTACCGAGGCACGCACGGCGCACCGATAAGCGCACTTAAGAGCGCGCGCGCGAAATTCCAATTACTTTTCGAACATATTTTTTTTGGTTTTATTCTGGAATATAATTCAATATTTTTCGAATGTACGAGAGTATTATTTTTGCAGTCGGCGGGCCCCCAGTATACGACCGGCGGGCCGCATTCGGCCCGCAGGCCGCGGTCTGTGCATCTACGGTTTAAAGTATGCACATCCTTATTCTTATTAAAGCTATTTATGTTTTTATGTACATACATTACATTTTCATAACTATATTGCGATGCCAAAGTAAATATGTTTCTTTCTTTAAATTTTAGTTTCAGGGACTCTTTACAATTTAGGTTGTAAATCGCCCGAACGGCTCTCTTTTGCAAAACAAATATAGCTTCAATATCAGTCGCATTACCTCATAGCAAAATTCCATAAGACATTACGCTATGAAAGTAACTAAAATACACTAATCTAGCTGTCTCAACATCTGTGAGACTTCTAATCTTACTTACAGCATATGCTGCAGAACTAAATCTACTTGCTAATTTAGATATATGGGGGCTCCATTCAAGTTTCGCGTCAATAGTAATACCGAGAAAAACAGTGGTATCCACAAGACTCAACTCCTCCCCATTTAACAACACATCGAATGTTTTACATTAAGTATTGTAAATTTAATACACTTTGTCTTATTGCCGTTCAAGAGCATATTGTTGGCGTTAAACCAATGTACTAATTCCGATAGAGCATTATTTACATCATCATAATTAATTAACTGCCGTTTGAGTTTGAAAATTAAAGAAATATCGTCTGCAAATAATACTATATCATGATTGTCTCCTACAAGATAAGATAAGTCATTAATATAGATTAAAAACAGGAATGGGCCAAGAATCGAGCCCTGAGGAACGCCCATTGACACTACCGATCCGGAGGAACCTTTACCATTGATCCCGACTTTTTGAGTTCTGTTAGTTAAATATGAAATAATAAGTAAGTTTTTACACCGTAATGTTGTAGTTTCCTGATTAATGTCTCATGATGAACACAATCAAAAGCCTTGGAAAGATCACAGAAAATACCTAAGGCATCTTGTGAATTCTCCCAGGCATTAAAAATATATTTCATAAGCTCAACATCAGCGTCAGACGTCGAGCGACCCCTTGTAAAACCAAATTGGTTTTTATGAAGTAATTTACTTGTATTGAAAAAAGTTAACAATTGATCCAAAATTATTTTTTCAAAAATTTTACTGAGAGTTGGTAGTACAGAAATAGGTATAAAATTAGCGGGGTCCAATGTACTACCAGATTTAAATAAAGGTATTACTTTACTATACTTCATTAAATCAGGAAACACACCAGAATCGATACAAGTATTAAAAATAATAGCAAGATGAGGTGCAATTAAATCTATTATGGACGCAAAAACTGTCACGGAATTCCCCCACAGATCTGCGGTTTTCTTTACATCAATGGTTTTGAAGTATTTTACAATATCTTGCGGTAATACTTTTTCAAATCTAAATTCTTTTAAACAGGTATCAACATTCTGTTTGAGTAATGACTCGGCGACAGTTGGAGAAGTATTCAATGACTCTGTAGTCAAGATAGGAACATCAGTGAAATATTTCTCAAACACCGCTGCGACTTCTTGATTTGATTTAGTCAATTCATTGTTAATTTTTAATTGATAGTTTGAGTTACGAGGTTTTTCTTTACCGGTTTCGCTGTTAATTATACTCCACGTCATTTTAATTTTATTCTTAGCCGTCTTAATTTTATTGCTAATATGTAACGATTTGGCTGTGGAGCGAACTCTTTTAAACATTTTAGAATAATTTTTGACAAATTCTTTAAAGGAATCGGAAGGATTATATGATCTTTCATGGTAAAGGTCATATAACCTTCGTCTGCTTTTATGAATTCCTACTGTCGCCCACTCATTAAATGCCTTGCGACTGACTAAGATGGAATGCCTCTTTTCCAGTAAAAAAGGTCTCCGGTTCTCTACACTCCCCATACGAAACACAGCAGTGTTTAGGTGCTATTTTACGCTGGTATTCTGTGAGAGCGTGGTCCTTGCCCGGTCGAGCCGACCCATTCGTGCTACAACTATAGTACTAATATAGCTGCAGCATAGCTCTACCACGTAAAAAAGTCTTCGTAAACTATGACATCAGGACGTCAAAGAACTCAGTCCCCCGCCTCACCCTCCCGTCTCCATAGGTTCTTTAAAGTGCCCGAAACGACAGGAATTAAAAAAGTAAAAAATAATCTCGATAAAATTCTTAAGATTATTTTTATTGCAAAAGAAGTTCTATTCGCAGTGAACGTGGCTCTCATGATCGGAAGCAGAAAAAAGCTCGCCTTGTTGGGACGGCGAAAGAGAATTCGCCACCGCATATCATTCCCTGTGTGTCCTAAGCCCGCCTGCCTGGCGTAGCAAGTATACCAAATGTCGCAATCCTAAGGCGCCTAATCGAACAAAATAACTTGGGCTTTTTGTCAACAATGGAGCACTTGTTTCGTGTTCCTATTATTAGTTATTATGTGCATATTACCGTGTAGTGACGGTGCTAGAACATCCACTACCCCATATCGTCCCGTGGGTGTCGTAAGAGGCGACAGAGGGAAATTGAAACAGGAGATGGGCAGCAGCGTCTTCCTGATAACAACTCTAAATAATAAAAAAACTGATGGCTGGATAACCCGATCCTCAGGGATGTCTATTATCGCAAAATTCTCCCTATTAGGCAATCTATGGGGGAGGCCTATGTTCAGCAGTGGACTTTCATAGGCTGTAATGGATGGATGTATACAAGATAATCTACCAGGAGCACATGACCCACTGAGAGGTGAAATTATTAAATCAACAATAACATTACAACTATGGCAAAATCCTCCTTATGAGGCAATCTATGGGGGAGGCCTATGTTCAGCAGTGGACTTTAATATGCTGTAATGAATGGATGTATTTCTATACTATAATCTACCAGGAGCACATGACCCAGTGAGAGGTGAAATTGTTAAATTAACAATAACATTAGAACTATGGCAAAATCCCCTCTATGTGGCCTATGTTCAGCAGTGAACTTTTCTAGACTGTAATGGATGGATGGATGTATGAATGGATATGCAG